CATAGGGTTTAATCTCAGGAATGCAAAAAGGCTTAACATTAGCAAAGCTATTACTGTAATGTACTGCAATGATAAAATAAGGAATAGACTATGCATGGTTGTCTTCAGGGGTGCACTTGATAAAATTTAATAGCCATTCCTGATAATACTCTTAGCAAATGAAGAGTAGAATAAAATTCCCTTAATTTGATTGATAAAAAATTTCTTATACAAGGTGAAACATTAGAAGCTGTCCCATAAAAAATACAAGGATGCTAGCTATTACTACAATTAACATTGGATGGAAGATCTTAGGCAGGGAAATTTAATAACAAAAATAAATGAGTTCTATTAGCAAGGAAGAAACAAAACTATCAGCATTAGTAGACAATATGATTATAGTTTAAAATGCTGCAAAATGATCTTTCAAAAATAATGATTAGAACTCTCTTGAGTGGGATGTTGTTTTATAAGTGTATACATTTAACAAAACATGTTGAATTGTATATTTGCTATATGTGCATTTAACTGTATGTGGATTTTACTTAAAAAAACCATTAGAACTAATAAGAGAGATCATTGAAATGTCTGACTGGATTAAAGATTAACATGAAATAAATCAACAACTTTGAAGAATGGAAAAATATCCCATTCACAAAAGCAACCTAACCTATGATATATCTTGAGATAAATATAACATGAAACATGTAAGATCTACATGAAGACACCTGTAGAACTTTATTAAAGGGCAAAAAATAGATCTGAATAAATGAGTTCTATGTTCATACAAGAGAGTTCAATGTTTTTTAAAAAGTCAATTCTCACCAAATCAATTTGTGTATTTAACACAATTCCAGTTAGAATCTTAAGTTTGTTTGTTTGTTTGTTTGTTTCTCCTGGATATTAAAAGAGCAGGTTACATTCTTCGTTCTTCTTTTTCAAATGTGGGCATCCTTGCTCAATGGTTCTTCCAGATGAGTTGTAGTCAGCCATCCATTCTCCAAGCCTTGAATTTGGTGCCTTTCTCTGATTTACACCAAGGTGCCACATAGACAAGGAAAAGCCTGGTAAAACGTGTAGTTGGAGAAGGTAGCCTTAAATAAGAAAGAAAAGACAAAAACCATAAGGAAAGAATGTATCTGACTACATCAAAATCTTACATTTCTATGACTAAAGAGACCACATAGACAAAGTTACAATGCAAACAGCGTTTGAGAAGCACAGAAATCAACAGTACTAAATTGTATCTAAATATCTGTCGCTGCTTACATTTTGCTGTAAAGCATATTATCTTTAGAATGTAGTGATGTGGGTAGGCGATTAATAAGCTTTCACCCTTCTGCAGGACCACTGGACCTTCAGTTTACTTCCTGTTATCTGTCCCTCTGAAGCCTGATAAAGATAGAACTGTCAACTATGTCCTCAGCCAACAAACATCACCTATATTAGAGCAATTACCTGATTGGTAGATTGCATTTGGACTGGCAAAACTATAATTACCTGATGGGAGAGCATAGCTGTGGGCTTTCCTGAGTGTGAAAACTCTTTAATTGGGCCCCGGTGGGTCGCTGGAAGCTGTGTCTGTGAGGTTGGTACAGAAACGCTGGCTCCGAGTCAGGGCAGCTGCCGCAGGGGTCCGGTGTGAGCCTCCTTTCCTTGCACCTGAGCGGTCACTAGGCTGCAGGCAGGTTACGGAAGGAGCAGCTGTATGGTCATGACAAGTACCCCCAGGGATGGGGAATGCCTACTTCTGGCCTGCTCTGACCTGTTGTCCCTGACCTTTGTCCCTCCAAGTGACTCTGGTGCTAAATGTGGCCTGTGGTTGTCTTAAGGAATCTTGGCATTCAGTTGTACCTAAGAAGACCCCCGGGGGATGTTGCACATGGTGAGATAGATTGTTTATACGAGAGCTATATAGAAAAAGACTAATGGGATAGAATTGTGTTTGATCATCGATTTGAGACTTAGTGAACTACACATGGGAAACCTGACTTCTCTCATGAGGTCCTACTACAGTACATGCTTCCCTGGCCCTTCTGGAGACAGCTGATGCACATTGCAGATACGGGGCCACAGGAGGAGGCACACTGCGGTGCCGCCCGCCTAGGAAACCCCAATCTATAACGTGATATCAAGCATTTACAAGTGTGGATCAAAGCCTCTTCACCTCCCCAGGTTCAAGCAGGCGACGAAGGACGGGTCTGAGTTTTAGGGGTGAAAGTTCTCCTTGGCCTTGGAGATACCGTTACATCTACCAAACCTGATCCTGAGTGACTCGCATTCCCCCTTCCACAAGCAGATCCCCGTAGGACTACACAAACCTAGTCTCGGAGTCCTTGGAGGTTTGGCACGCCTGCAAATCGATCTGGCCAGTCTCATGGGAGACATCTTTAAAGTTGGGGAGGACGTTTTTCTGGGTCAAAACTGACTGGAAAATGATCAGGAGTCAGAATCCCCTCTTCTGGTCTCTTCCGCCTTAAAGAAGGCAGCCCCAGCATCGCCTTCCCATGCTGTGGGTGAAACAATCCTTCTCACTGGAAAAGCCACTTATTTCCAATGCATTTACGCCTTCAAAAAGCATAAGAAAAACTTGTATCAGCGTTCTTCGTGACCATGTGGATACATCACGGCACTGCTTGGACCCTGTAAAAAAGACCATCGTAGGATTAGGATGTGACAATTTTAAAAGATTCCATTTATTTATTTTTAGAAAGAGGAGAAGGGAAGGAGAAAGAGAGTTAGAGGAACATCAGTGTGTGGTTTGCCTCTCATGTGGCCCCCACTGGGGACCTGGCCTGCAACCCAGGCATGTGCCCTGACTTGGAATTGAACCAGTGAGCCTTTGGTTTGCAGCCCACACTCAATCCACTGAGCTACACCAGCCGGGGCTAGGACGTGACAATTTTAGATTGTGGTATTAGTGGGGGCAGTGGGGAGGAACTTAGTCCTGTTGGTATTTATTCTTCGAGACAAGTTTATAAAGAGCCAGAAGACCTTATCCAAGAGCTTTAAATTATAATAATAATTCTGCTGATTTGGGTCAGATCGAGGTGTCCCTTACATTTTTTCTATACCTTCTCTTACTATTTTAAACTTCATTACATTAAAAAATACAAATATAATGTGGTTTTTTGGTGATGAGTGAAAGAGTAGAGACTTCCATAAAGAAAAATAAACACACCCCAGCCCTAGTGCCACCCTTTTAAAGCCACCGATGACAGAAATTCACCGTTTGTCTCTCCACTTCATTTTCCGTGCTCACACAAACGCGTGCAAAGACACCTGTGTCATGGAGGTTAGTTCGTCTTCGCTTCGCTCTGCATATAGCAGTCTGCAGTTTGCTCTTTTCTGCTTAACACATTATGGACATCTCTGCAAGTTCCTACATATAGATCTAACTTATTATTTTAATAATAGCATAATATCCTAAAAATATTGGTTCTTTTCCTATTGATGGACATTCAAGCTGTTTCCTCTTTTCTTTTTAAAAAAATCATTGCAAATAATGCTGCAATAGATATCAGTGTACTAGAAATCCACATTGGCACATTCATTTTGGATAAAATTGTAGGGATCTCCGGGCCAAAGGATAGGTGATGTGCAGTATTAATTTCAGTAATTACATTCCCAAAAGCGTGTAGCAATATATGCTTCTGCCCCTTCTCCAAATCTTTGCCTGCCCTGCATGCCAGCAACCTTTTTCATTTTGCCCATCTGAGGATGAAAAGTATCTTTGAACTGTTCTTCCCTTCGCTCCCCTCCCCAACCAATCTATTCTTCACTCTGCAAACAGTGATCTTGAAAAACAAATTTCCTACCTCAACTCCCTGCTCAGATACTTCATTTATTTCCTGTCACTCTTAGAATAAAGGTCAATATCTTTGACACAACAACAACAAAAAAGCTCCTTGTGGTATAATCGTCCGTCTGCCCCTCTGGTGGGTTCTTCTCCCAACGGGAAGGGCTTTTTCCAGATCGAGTTCTACTGAGAAATCAAGATGACATCAGCTCGTTTGCTGGAAAAAGCCTCACAGAAAGGTATGCCTTTAAAAATGTGGCTAACTTATGCCTAAAAGGAATAATTATTTCTATTTTATTTGCCTTGATGGAAGTGTTTTTCCAGTTGCTTCAGGCGGAGCATTTAGCGTAAACAGGGGAGTACAGGACTTGTCAAAAAAACATGTCAGGGCGACACCTTGGCTCCGGAGGAATAGGTACAAAGTCGGATCATAAATGCAGGGGGTTTTTGCTTCTCTTGTTTTTAAGTTGGACTTTTCAAGTAGAAGCTGCCTTTAATGTGCTGGTTTGCAGAACAGGAAATCTGATTTTTCAGTGTGATAACACGTTCTTTGACATTAACCAGTACAGTTGGATTTTTAATGACACTTTTATCTTCAAAGCCCTTCACCAGCACTGGTGGATTAATTATTCATTTTTTGGTTGTGTGTTAAAAAGAAAACGCTTCAAAGCCTCATCCTTTCTCCTTGGAATTGGGGCTCTCCACCTTTCAAATGTTGCTTTCCTGCCCCCAAGGGAGAAAATAAATTGCATCTTTTTTTTTTTAAAGACAAAAAGAAAACAATAGAAATATACTCTTTACACTATGGAAAGATGATGTCCTTATATCCTGGGTGGGATTAGAAGAGGTCGGAAAGCAGTGTTTAAACTGTGTTTACAGTAAGCACTGTGAGATACAACTCTGGCGAAAAGTGTTTGTTACTTTTCAGTCTTTTGAATCGCCCCTGAAAAGCAGCACAAATACTTAAAGCACTCCGCATTCACCATAAACTGGAATATAATAAGCAGACCCTTACATTTGCTGCAAAAAAAAAAATGTATTTCATTCCTGTTCCCTTCAAACAATGCCTAATTGGGCTTTTTAACGATGTGGTTTTGGAGAAGCAAACTCTCAAGCCTCCCCCTGGGTTCTCCTTGATTTGACACATTTTATAACCACAAGGGAGCAGTCTTCCTTTTGATGAGGTCTTCCCCCCACCTCCCCAGAAATGAAAGAGCAAGTGTAAGTTTGCAAACAGTCTAAAAGCCCTTTCCATTAGGCTCTGGACGCCGGAAACCACGAAGGGCAGTTCAAGTTTTGATTTTCAAGGAGAAAGCCTCTGGTAAACTTTCGCTCAGCCGCCAGGAGGTCTGTTGGTTCCTGGGAGGAGCTCTTCTGAATCCTCGAAGATTCCTGTGCTCTTGAAGACCCAGATCAGTGGATTACAGTAATTGTAAGCCTTAGGTGGCGTCGGAAGATTACTCTGTTTGGGGTGCGCTCACATTTCCAGGCTAGGGGACGGAGCGGAGGAACCCCTTTTGTTATTTTTTGAAAGGAGAAGATCAGAGAGGAAGACGGGGTTTTGAAGTGTGGATTAGTGCTCCTCATCTTCGCCTAGTACCTCCGTCTGGAACTTTATAAAGAGATTGAGGAGTGCAGTGAATTTGCGAAATCATGCAAAGTGTCCTTGAAGCCTGTTCTGGAACGTAGCTTCTGGACCAGAAACTTCTCCCCAAACAGACCTTCCGTGCCAGGCAGTCTGAATGGACCGTCGTCTCCGATTTGAAGATTTGCAACCTTATTCCCCGGTGGGAGAGTAACTTCTTGGGTGATCTGTTGGCTTGTCGGCGAAATGATGGAGAAACGTAAACCACCCGCACTGCTGACCTTGCCGTACCACCTCCACCCGGTGCCCCTGAGCCTGCCAGGGACCCTGCCCCGCCTCCCGCTGAGGGACCCTTTCAGGGTCCCCTTGCATCTGGACGACGCGTGCTGCGCGCGGAGACGGCCCTACCTGCCCTTGCCGCTGGACGGCGCCTTCGAGCCCGCCTTCCTCCGCAAGCGCAACGAGCGCGAGCGGCAACGCGTGCGCTGCGTGAACGAGGGGTACGCGCGCCTCCGAGACCACCTGCCCCGAGAGCTGGCCGGCAGGCGCCTCAGCAAAGTGGAGACACTCCGCGCTGCCATCGGCTACATCAAGCACCTCCAGGAGTTGCTGGAGCGCCACGCGCAGGGGCAGGAGGGCCCAGCCGGGCCCCCGCGCAGGCCCGAATGCAACAGCGATGGCGAGTCCAAGGCCTCGTCGGTGCCGTCGCCCTGCAGCGAGCCCGAGGAAGGGGGCAGCTAGCGAGCGCTGGGACCCCCGCCCTGTCCCGGGCGCCCATTGCACTGCGCGCCTTTGCAGCCTGGTCTGAGGTTCTCTCTGAAGGTCGTTGCATTTTTAATCTGGTTGTTCCTCCAGGGGGGGGGAAATCGTAGGAAAAAGAAATGAGTACTTTAAGGGGAAAATGATATTGATATTCTAGTTGGATTTCCCCCCCTGTTATTGGCTTTGTGCCTGCGATTTAAAGATGCTTATTAAGGAAACTTCTTCTCCTGTACTTCTCAAATGCAAACTGCACCAGATTCTGAGCACCTCATTCTAAAAACTCAAACGGCAGTAACAGTGGGAATTTCCCACCGTCATTGGTGCGTAAATGATGTACATAAATACTGAAGTAAACCCAGCCTTAACCGAAGAAGAACTTTCCCAAAATAAATAAATAATGGCAGTTCTTAAGATGAGAGGAACGTTTTCCTGCATTTCTTCCTTTGGGGATTATATTAGAAATTTAATCGGCACCATGCACTGAGTCAAGGGGACTTGAAGCTGACACCTGACGACACCTTTGTCAGCGCGAGCCGCCAGACCAGTCCGTGCTGCTGATGGACTATGTGAACCGTGGGTCTAGAGAAGATATAGACATTCTATATGTAATACATCCTGTTCTGTCAAGAAGTGGTTATTGGGAAACTTCATAGAATTTAGCAGGTCGGATGTTCGTGCCAATGATCTTTTAGGAAGAGAATTCAGAGTTGTGTGAAAACATTTTCTCCTTCCGTTGTTTTTGTCCACTGGCTTTTTGGTTTGGTTTGGTTTTTCCTTTTCCTTGCCCTCACATCGTCCCTTGTAGTTCTTATTCAACTTTTGATTACATTGAAGTGACGCTGTGACTTTTTTTAAAGTAAGTGCTTAGATGGTTGAACGTGTGGACTGGGGTGGGTCCATTTCGAACTTGCATCACAAGGACAACTTCCAGGGGTATTGGAATTATCTAGCGACTTCCTGTGGCTTGTTCTAGTCTTTTAAAAATACTTAGTTCTGGTCGGGTTTTATTCTCTTTGAGAAACAATTATAAATCCAGAAATAAGTAAAAAACCTGACATGTTGTTGTGGCTCAGTTGGTTGAGCCTTGTCCCACAAAGGGAGGGGGCACCGGTTGGGGCATAGGCCTGGGTTGCGGTCCGTCCAGGTGGGGGTGAGTTAGAGAGGCAGCCACTTGGTGTTTCTCTCTCACATTGATGCTTCTCTCCCTCTCTTTCTCTCTCCCTTCCCCTCTCTCTAAAAATAAATAAATAAAATCTTTTTAAAAAACCTGACACCAGAAGATAAACTTCCTCTCTCTATAGTTATTTTCTAACATGCTGATCATGCAGGCAGCTTTGGTCTGGGGCTGGGGAGTGGGGTTAGGAAATACAGAAGGGGGCAGAACTGACAAGGGTGAGCTCTTTCAGAAAATTGTTTCCCTTAACCCAACCCCCACACTGGTCTTATGAGGTAGGTTTTATTACCTGCTTTCTATAGATGTGTCAACTGAGGGAAGCTAATATTCAGTGAACATCATTTACATGCCAAGAATTATACTGTGTGGGGTTTTTTAAAAACATTTTGCTCTGCTTAATTTTCATAAATCTGTGAAATGAGTATTACACATATTTTGTGGTTTGAAAAAAAAATGAAGCTCAAAGAGATGACTTGCGTTGCCCCGATTAGTGTTGCTACAATTAGTTGAGCTGAGAGCCAGTCCACGCTCTATCTGACCCCTCAGCCCAGACTTGCTGTCTCCCTTATCACGCCTCCCCTTTCTGTCAGCAAATGTTACTTGACCCGTGGAATGTCGAACCCGTGTTAGAAAGTATAATTACTAATATTCATGATGAGTATAATGGTAGTCTATCGCTTTCAGCTGTGCGGATAAATGATGATCTTCACGACCAAACATTCCTTTTCCTTAAGGATGAGGGAAGAGCCTATTATTTGAGTGAACGAAATGTAAGAGCCGTTTTTCTTGCTCATCACTTAATTCCAACCCCACACTCTCCTGTAATATATCCATTTCAGTCTCCGGGTAGGTGGTTATTCCGTCTGGGGGGTTCGATGGAGCAAGCCTAAGTGAGATACATTTACTAATTTGCAAAAATAAAAGGTGGGGGAAATACCCATATTACTGTCCTAGGAGAGTTGGAGGAAATACTAATTAACCAAGTGGCTAAGAAGCTTGGGAGACTGTTTTAAGGGTGTCGGTGGGGCAGTCGTTGCATTTCCATTTCTTTATTCTACTCTCTTTTCCAAAGCAGGAATAGTAATAATGAAAGAGTGTATTTTCTTTAATCTGCACAGACTGCGATTACTTTTTAACTACAGGAAAAAATAAATACTTTTTCTTCGTTTACTTCTTTAAAATAAATGTATAAAATCTGTGAGTAAATATACTTTGCTGAGATAAGTGACTTATAAAGAGAAGGATAAGGGCAATTTTATTTTATTTTACTTTTAAAAGAGACCTTTATTTTGGATAAAATGCCTTGAGAGAATTTTAACGTGGTTTTGTTTGAAGCCCTATTGAGACTAAGACAATGATTTTGAGAAGCCTTTAAAAAAAAAAATCCCAGCTCAATTATATAACTTCTTTAGAGGTTAAAAAAAGCAAGCAGTTTTTCTGGGACCCTTCCTGATGGCTCACAGAAGGAGCACCAACCCAGGAATGAAACCTTTTAAAATGTTCAATCTTCCCTTTTCCTGTGAGTGAACACTTAATTAACCATGGCGCCATTTACTGTCAAAAAGAAGAAAACTGGTTCTAGGTGTTATACTTTCCACCGTAGCATCCTTGCCACAGTCATTTTTGCTGTAAACATTTTCACCACCTATCTAATTGGCCACAAGGCAATTTTGCTGTAAACAAGATAAAATAACTGGTTGACAGTTCTGGGTTTTGCTTGGTTGGTTTCATTTTCCCGTTGACCAATCAACCACACTCAGCTGGTTTAATGCATTTAAGCCAGTCCTCAGTTTGGTTTCATTTCTCCATTGAGGAGTTTCCACAGTTACTCCCATCTTTATGTTACACGTAAGTTTCACCTAGGCCTCTCTCTGCAGGGTCTATTGCGTCTGGAGCAGGTGTGGTAGTGGGGATGCTCTTCCAACAGCATTTCTTCCAGATGAAGATTTGCCCCAAGAGCTGGTTTCTTACTTTGAAACCTGCTACGGAGCGAACAGAGAGTTCAACCCACATCTCCCACAGAACAAAGCCAAGTGCTTAGGTGTGACCCACAAAATAAAAATCAGTTATTTGCACAGTATTGCCATGAATCTACACACATTTTAATATGGTATTTAAATATGCCATTGTTCTCAATAAACTTTTAATTTTTGTTATGTCCTTTTTCATGTCTCTTTTACTTTTCGTGATTTTATCCTTTTTTTTTATGGCAAAGTTGGCTTATGTCCAATTAGTTAGGCAGTGAAAATGTTTGCAGTAAAAATGCTTGGGGCAGATATTCACGGCAAAGATGCTACAGCAAAAATACCAGACATGGACAAAAGTAATTACCAACAAGCTATGTAGAAGCAGTAGAGGGGAGTTGTATGGAAATGATGCATTCCTGAAAAGAGAAACATTTTACGTGGCCTTCAAGGTCTTCCCTGTTTTTTGGCCACTCAGCCCAGACATAGCCACTGAAAATAATTTATTGCTTTTCCAACATTCCCTGTGGTTCGTAACTCTAATTAACTGCTGTGACATCCCAAACCCAGCCCCAAGTATACAAAGAAGGAGGGCCAGTGTTGGGGTGTGGCAGAGTGTGCCCTGGCCTAGGGCTTGGTCCAGCTCTGCCACGTAGTGACCTGCTGACATCGGAAGAGTCCCTGACTTCAGTGGTCTCGGTTCCCTCTGGTAGGACACGTGAAGATTAGATTGCATCATCTTTTAGGCCTTCCAGCTTAAAAATGTCGTTCCTCTGACACGTGCAAAGTCCAAAACTGGGGGAGACACACGTCAGGGAGACGTGCCCACAAGGGCCACTTCCTGCGCAGAGTACAGCAGTGCTCTCTTTCTGAAACCTCTTTCCTACAAGAAAGATCCAACCCCTCGGCTGCAGCTTATTCTTCATCTAGTTGCTGTCACAATGCCTACTTTTTGAAAAAGCAAGCTCCATAATTTTTTGTTGAATAGAGTTTAAAGAATCCTACAATCCAGAGGAAAAATGGGCCCACTTTGCCCCAACATGAAGAAAAAAGGTGTATGACTGATGTCCCAAATGAAAAGTGCTATGAGGATACAGAGCAGCCTCAAGTGAGCAGAGAACTAGGAGGAAAAGCCTCCGGGGCTGTGGCGCTGAGGGGTGAAGACGGGTGAGAATTAATTACAGGCAGAGGGTGTGCGGGGCACAGAGACGTCTCAAAGCAGGAACCGCGCTCACAGAGGAGAAGCTGAGGGACAGGATGGCTGAGCCAAGGGTCTAGCTGGCATCGAAGGCCAGGTCGAAAAATCTTGAACTTTATGTTTTAGACATGGGGAACTGTTGAGAAAACGATCTTTTTGTTTGTTTAGACAGAGGGTGAACTGTCTAGTCCTGCCGTTGAGGATCACTCTAGCAGCAGGCCAGCAGGGGTTTGCAGTAATTGAGAGAGGAAGTGAAAGCCTGACGCGGGGCTGTGGGAATGGGAAGGAGCCGATGGACTGGGAGACCACGTGGGAGTAGCACTGAGAGGTCTTGGTAACTCAGAAGATGGGGGAGGGGAGTGGAGAAGAGGGAGACATAAAGACAGCTCTAGTAAGTTCCCATCAGGTGAAAGGGGGAGCACAGAAAGAGAAGCAGGTGGTAAGGGTACAAGTCTTGCTCTGCAGGTGCTGGATTTGAAATACTGATAGGCCCTCCTCTCTGTAAACAATTGGAGATGCTGATGTCAAGGTCAGGAGGGAAGTAAAGAACAACTGCAGACTTGAGTTGCACACATATTAGGTGAGGTCTCCCAGGGAAAAGAGTGATGAGAACGAGAGAGGAGAACAGGGGCGGGCTTGCCTGAAGGAGTGCAGAGGAAGAAGTGTCTTTGACGAGGGTGAAGAGGTTAGAAGGAGAATTAAGCTGGTACGAGACCCTGGCAGTTACATGTGGATACTATTTTATAAGGAGGGCATGGGTGACAATATCCTATGAAGCAGATGTGTCAGGGAGATTGTGTGGGAGGGACCTGTTGGATTTAGCCAATAAAAAGTCACTAGAGGCACTTGTCAGAGCATCAGAGGGGTGGGATGAGGAAGCGGAAGTAAGGTGAAGACTGCCCTTTCCAGAGGCTGCACCGTGAATAATGAGAAAGAGAGCCGAGATGATCTACCGGAAAACCAGTTGGGGGAAAAGATGGTATATCAAAGATAGTGCTGAGCCTGAGATCTTAGAGGTGAAAGTTCTAGTTGATTCAGAGACTCATAGGTGACAAGGCTTCAAGGAGTCTGAAGTCGAGTGGAGGTGAAGGTCCTAGTAACTGGGGTGGGGAGTGCCAGGTTCAGGTGAAGACAGGTAGGCGCTTAAGTCGGGAAGAAGATGGGGCGGGGTCTGTCACTGGCAGGTAACAGTGATGAAAATGAGAAGGGGGTTCATATTTGATACTACTTTGTATCAGTTTCAGGTGTACAGCACAGCGACTGGACGGTCATGTGCTTTACAAAGTGCCCCCTCGTACTTCCAGTACCCACCTGCCACCTGGCACCACTCACGGCCAGTACATTACTGACTGTGCTCCCTGTGCTGTGTTTCACACCCACGACTGTTTTGTAGCTACCAGTCTATACTTCTCCATCCCTTCACATTTCTTCATCTGCAATTGAAAATAATTAAAAACTAAAAAAGTAAGAAAATAAAGAACTACACCTCAACTATAAAAAAAAAAGCGGATTAAAAAAATGGGTGAAGGAGCCCTGGCTGGTGTAGCTCAGCAGATTGAGCGCAGGCCTGCGAACCAGAGGATCGTGCGTGGTTCGATTCCCAGTCAGGGCACATGCCTGGGTTGCAGGCCAGTTCCCAGCAAGGGACCCACGAGAGGCAACCATACATTGATATCCTCCCCCTCTCTCCTTTCCTTCCCCTCTGAAGATAAATAAACGCAAAAAAAAGTATTAAAAATGGGTGAAGGAAAAAAATGAGAAGAGGCTTGTATGAAAAGTACAACTATACGGGCAGGGTTTAGTATTGCCCCTTAGGTAAGGTCTAGTTTCAAGAGTATTAAGTTTTTAATGACTTGGTTAAAAAGTTGGCCCAGGTCTCCTCTGTGATGACCCAATTTTAAATTCTATTCATGTTTATTTCATATTTTATAGTTTCATGGTGATAGGTAACTCTGGAACATTCTCCAGTGTTTATTATATGAGATAACTTGCCCAAGAGTCAGGCAAATAATAGACGCTCAATAACTTATTAATTTCCTTTTGTCTGGGGCTTCTGAGGTTAAAAAAAATATTCTTCTCATGTAGAAAAACTTCAACAGAGCAACCGGGACAGAGTAAGGATCCGTGGCTACAGGGAAAGAAAACAGTACCTTATTTTCTTCCCACTGTGGAATTTCTGGGGACAGGGGAACGACGGTAAAATTACCTAGGAAAAATGAGTAGCGTCTGGAAGAGAGTAGGATTGAGACGCCTGCATCCATCTAGCTCTGATCTTTCCCCTTGGCCGCAGTGTCTGATCTCTCCCCAGCACACCTTGAACCCTGGACGGTTGGGCTGAACTGTCACTCTCCTGCCCCCAGGTGCTGTAAGCCTTCAACTGAATTTGAGAGCAAAGTCCCATCGGGCTGGGAGAGCCTTTCACTGGGTGAGTCAGCTCAGCGCTACTCGGCTCCAAGCAAGCCAACCAACTCGTCAGGTGGTACGGATCAAAACACTTCAGAGCTGTTTCTGTCTAGACAAAGATTTTCTTCAAAGCTCCCCAAGTTATCATTGTCATCTGCAGAAATAGATTAAGAAGCCCACTTGTCACCCTGGGAATGAGACTTTTGATGGAAACTTGGGCCAACTGGTGGAATCCTTCTCTGCGGAGTGAGCTTTAGAAAAGGCGGCCCCGCCCCAGGCCAGTGCTCTCGACCCCTCTCCATCGGCCATCGCCAACCCTTTCATCCCACCAGGCGGACTGGCTGCTGGGAGAGGGCCGAGGGCCTAAAGCTGCTTTGTATTTTCTTTCTTGGTCCATGAAACCGCAGACCTATTTCCAGCTCTTTGATTATCACCGCTGAGCTGCGTGCGTGTTTGACGCACAGGCTGTCTGGGTGGGGAGACTGGTTTTTGATCCTTTCGTGGCTATTTAGCTGCCTCCTTTTGTGAAAACCTGTCAGCACCTTTTCATGTTGTGTAACTCGCT